TCTCTCAGGACACCAACACCCCTGAGACCTTGACACACTCCCACCAAGTGCAGACAGTCTCTCAGGACACCAACACCCCTGCGAGACCTTGACACACTCCCACCGAGTGCAGACAATCTCTCAGGACACCAACACCCCTGAGACCTTGACACACTCCCACCGAGTGCAGACAGTCTCTCAGGACACCAACACCCCTGCGGGACCTTGACACACTCCCACCGAGTGGGGACAATCTCGCAGGACACCAACACCCCTGAGACCTTGACACACTCCCACCGAGTGCATACAGTTTCTCAGGACACCAACACCCCTGCGAGACCTTCGCACGCTCCCACCGAGTGGGGACAATCTCGCAGGACACCAACATCAGGCAAGGTCATGCTACGACTATGATGAAATGAGTCAAAAACAAAACCACTTCACAATTTTATCTAAGAACGGATAAAAAGCAAGGTCACTGTGCAACCACAAAACTACCGAGTACTCTTCCCTCCCGCGTACAGTAGCTGGAACTTCCTCATTAGTTACAGTTTGACCTCACTCTTATGCTCCTGCCGTGGCAAGATTTATTAAGATGTGCAGTCACGGAATTACCCTTGTTCCAGACAGCTTCCAGTCCAAACTAAACACCTTCTTCTTTTGAACTGCCTCCAAATTAAGAACACTTTTTCTGATATGCCCACTGTTCCTCTTGACATGTGCCTCCCCCATTTTAATGAACAATAACTTAATTGCTTACTTCCTGTGTTCCTGGTGGTCTTTAGCTAGAAAGTCAAAAGAGTGGTCTATACCAAGTAGGGGGCATATATGTATGTGTATATATATATATATATATATACACACAGTACTGGAGACTTAACCCAGAGCCTTTGCCTGATGTACATCCCAGAACTTTCTTTCATTTTTTAATTTTGAGTCAGGGTCTTCCTAAATCGCTAACTTTGTAAGGTGAGCTCCAACCTTCAGTCTTCCTGCTTCAGCCTCCCACAGGGCCAGGAGCATAGGGTGCACCACTGTGGCTGGCTTCCTAATATTCTCTTTTAAGCAGACACCCAACAGGCTTTCACACGTACCCTCCACTGGAACTGCTCTTGTCCTAGTTGTCAGTTACTCCTACACAACTCACCCCAGTGGCCAATTCCCAGTTCTCACATAACGTGACCCATTAGTACCTTTCAGAGCAGATCACACCTCCTACTGATCATAGTTCTTCATTTAGCTTCCGTGAGTTCCTTCCTCCTTCACCAGCCACTCCTCACCGGTCTCCCTTCCGGGATTCTGCCTCAAAAGCTCAGGTCTCTGACTTCTGCCTATATACTTATTTTCTTTGTGGTTCCTAGTGCCATGATGATAAACATCACTTGCTGATGATAGGAATTCATATACATTCATTCTATCTTGAAGTATATGTGCCTTGAGATATATCCCAGGGCATGCATAATATATTCATTCAATATTTAGTCTACGCACCTGTAACACATTTTATTCAGTTTAGTGAGACTAATATCCAATTACTTTTTCAACATCTGCAATGCTGGATGTCCAATAGACATCTCAAACCTAACATTTCCAAAGCAAAAGTCCTGACATGGCTCTCCTTTAGAATGTGGGACACCTGCAATCCAACCCGTCTCAGTAAACAGCAACCCCGTGACTGTGCCCAGAACCTTGGAGACACTGCCCCAACACAGCACTTTCACCAGAGTTACCCGACCTAGCAAATTAACTTTCCCAGTCCACTTGGACTGCATCCACTTTATCATCCCCACTGTCTCACTCTCGATCTTGTTAGCATCTCTCACCTGGTGTCTTGTAATAAACATCCTTTCTTACCTGGTTTTAATTTGGTTCCGTTCTTTCTGGTCTCCACAAATTGGCTGTGGTTAGTATTTCAAAAACATACGTTGGCTGTGTCGCAAGCCCTTGCAGTGCACTCCTGCGTCATTCCAATGAAGCCAAACGTTATACAAGGACCTGAAAAATCTGCTACCCCCTCACCCACCTACCCTGCACCCATTCACACATGTGACTTACCTTCAGGACACTCCTAAAATTCTTCATGCCTCAAACTTTGAAAAAAAATCTGATACTCAAGTGCATTCAGGAAATTAGAGCTCAAACACAAAGCTTTAGAACAAATTTTTTTTACAAACAGTTCAGTGAGCATTATATGGGACTATTTGTCTGCATATTTTCATAAGAGGTTATCTAATGAATGACTGCCCGATACTCTGGCCCACCTTGTTGTAGAATTTGGTGCTTCTCACCCTGATTGGATGTTAAGTCACCTTTTTCAAGGACCCTAAGATTGGTGCTCCCCTCCTCGGAGCCATTTATACTCTCATCCCAGAATCTGCACCTCTGTCGCACTGTCCAGAGACAGAGAAACAGATCCTCACCAGGTGTGCCTCGGGCTCACATTTCTAACAGCTGCCTGTATCAAGGCTTATCGTAGCAAACTGAAATAAAATTTGCCCTGTGAAGCTATTTATTTACTCAGCAAACAATATGTAAGCTACAGTAACCAGAATAATAAAGAATCACAAAATGTTGCATCTCTGCGAATGCTTAGATAGTATGTAGTCTTGGGACAGGAAACTGTTCCTACAAAGGGCTCTGCTTTAGGTTTGGGCACCATGCATTCTTTGCTGTAATGATTTACGACCTTTGCTAGTGTAAGGTGAAAACAGCCACAGACAATACACAAACAAAAGGATACATTTGTGTCCCACTAAAACTTTATTTATAAAAATATATATCAGGCTGATTTTGTCTGTGGACTATAGTTTGTAGGCCACTGAACAAATTCAGCTCATCCATTTCATGCATGCAGATAAACTAATTGAACACTGTTATGGCTTGTGCCTAAAGCTTCATGTGGTTATAGGTGGAGTTTTACAGAGCTGGCTGGCTCTAGGGTGTGTGATGCTGAGATTGATTCATGGTGCAGTGCAAGGATGAAGGCTGCCCTGCCCTGGAATGCGTGCTATCTGCCCTGAAGGTAGGTAACCTGGATAGGATATAAGGGAAAGAAAGAGGGTCACTTGTCACTTACTGCTTGCTACTTTGCTGCTTTGCGACTTCTGCCTGCCATGAGCCATTTATCCCTGCAATGCTCCTCTGCCATGCCTTGGAGCCAGCCAATTATGGACTGAATCCACTGCAAACTGTGAGCAAAATAAACCTTTTCTCCTTCAACTTTGAGTGTCAGGTATTTTGTCTCAGCAATGAGAAAAGTAACTGAGACAGACACAAAGAGTTAAGGGAGTGATTCATGTTTCAGATTGATCGGAACAGTTTCAATATATGCCCGTTGTCTCACTATAATTTCTAGCATGTCCTCTTTCACTCACAAACGTGTGCCAGGTCAGATAATAAATGAGACTATCACCCTTCATAATTCTATGCCTTGACTTACATAAATTCCCATATTTTCATGTATCAATAGCACCTCCACATATCATTTAATTGAGTACACATATAGCACAGGTGGCACTATGTTTAAAAACTGCTAAGGCTGGTTGAGGAGGACTACAATGTTGCTCAACTTTTAGTAGTCCAGTAATAATAATCCCTTTTGCAAAACTCAATAAGCATTTCTGGATAATAGAATGAAAGAGTCAATATGTTGTTATATTTTATGTAAGTATAATTATTCAAGAGAAACATTAGTTTTTCTATATATATCAGAGCCATCTTTTGAATATTAACAGGACTAAATATAGAAAATATAGATAGTATAGGAAAAATATCTGCTAGGCTGTCTGAAGTAACACCGCTAGTCAATCCTTTGACAAACTTCAAGAGTTTGGTTTTTTTCCCACTGGACTCTTTTCCTGAGTGATCAAACATGACTCCAAAGTCATGTGACTATAGGCAGTAATGCTGCAAAGCAGTCACTCTGAGCTCACAGGGAAGCAGTTATGGGACTGCCTTTCTTTGCTGGGCTCCTGACTCTTCCCTCACCCCGGTTTGTTCCTTAAATTGGCTCAGGAGTCTGCAAAGGGTATGCCAAGAGATAGTAACACAACGCATAGTTAACCCTGCCTATCCTCAAGAGCAGCCATGAATGAGCTCACCTGTGTCAGCTTTCCATTGCTATAAAAAAAAAACACTGGAGATAATCAATTTATACAGATAGAAAGTTTGTTTGAACTCACAATTTTGAAAGTTTAAGTGTCTATTGGCCTTTGCTTTGGGGGCCTACGGTGAGGCAACACCTCATGGCCAGAGCGTGTGGTGGAGCAAAGTCATTTGCTGCTGGCCAGGAATCCAAAGGAAGAAAAACGAGGCCAGAGTCCAACAATCCACTTCGAGGGCAGATAAATTACACTTCCTTCCAAGAGAGCCACCCTTGAGAACAAACCTTTGTCACGTAGGCCTTTGGGAAGCGTTAAAGACCCAAACAATAGTTCTACCACAACCTATTCTCTGTCAGAAATAGGATAGATTCAGCCTCCACTGACGAAACATGAGGCTTTGCTGGAGACAGTAATAACGTGCCTGTGGGCATTTTTTAACACTCAAGAGCATTTACCATTTTAAGTCATTTTGAAAAGTGTGCTGAGTGTTAGCCCTACGCTTATTGAAAAAATTACATTAAGGAAGTAATTTCACTCATAGATAAAATATTTTATTTTTATGATGGAGATATTTGGAATAAGCTTGGGAGAGCATTCCAAATGAAAATGATAAAAGTTTATTTCATAGTTTAGAATAATGTCAATATTGTTGGCCTGTTGTATGAAACTTGGGCCTGAGGCTTGCAAATCATTCGGTTACCGGTCCTAAATAAAATCTTCTCTTTGTAGACATCAGTGCGAGTGGGCAAAATGTTCATGGGCTTGCAATTATTTGTGGCTATTGTTTTTAGTTTGAATAGGAAAGTAGAAATTAGATCATTTTATTGAAGATATTCAGAGAGCAGTAGATTATATCCTGTAAAATATATAAAATGGGCTGTTTTCATTCTACATAGATCACTCTTTTAAATTTAGATTCTAAGCTATTTGTGAGCAAGAACTGTATTTAAAAAGTTTCCCTGGAGGGACTGGGGAGTTAGCTCAGTGCCACAGCGCCTGCCTGGCAAGTGCAAGGTTCGGAGTTCAACTCCTGGTACCAGAAAAAAAACAAACAAACAAAAAAAAGTTTCCCTGGAATTCCCTAGTTATGCCAACAACCCTTTTTGGAATTGACTGGCTGATGAAGCTATTGATAAATTCTTATCTATCAAACCTTTCATCTAAATTGTATCAGTGGTAAAGATATAGTATGCACAAGAACCAACTCCCCACAGGAATGTAGTTTTTCTTTTCGGTTTTTTTTTTTTCCGATATTGGGAATCGAACTCACGACCTTGGGCTTGCCAGGCAGGTGCTGGGCGGCTGAGCTAAATCCCCAGCCCTTAGGAATATAGTCTTATGTATTGCAAATATGTACCAATAAAAGCATAGAATCTGAAAATAAGTAAATAAATTATGGAGCAAGATAAAAGACAATAGAAAAATAAATTATGGTGAGTGGCTGCGTTAGAATGTGTTAGCAGGTCAGGGGCCACCCGTTACTTCCTCCAGGTGCTTCATAGCTGACAAATATGCCACAGATTAGCCGAGGGGACTGACCTAAGTTACTGGACATTTCTAAACAGCGCCTCTGTGGATCTGAGCGGGAAACCGAAGCACCGAAACGTCACCCAGGATTTCATCGACGGGCACTGACCCCAAAAGGGTCAGCCTCAAAGGCTCAGGGAGGGAGGTTTTCAAGGAGTTGCAAAGGGGGTACAGAGGCAGAACGGCTTGTCAGTTAGTTTGTCAGCGGGGATTGGTTCGTACAGCGTGCGTCATCATGACCAGCCGTTTCTGGGAAACGGAAGTAACAGGAACCGAAGTAAACTGGAGGTCACCCGGGCAACTAACAGACACTGAAGTCTATTGGCTGGAGGAAGGGGGACTTTCTGCTGCAGATTCAGGAACAGAACAACAAGAAAAGACTACCCTGCCAAGCCCAACGGTCACCTTCCAACTCCAGTAGGTAAAACAGGGCCGTCTAGGGGCCAGCAGCACCCGCTAAGTTTGTATCGTTCCAAACCGTGAGGTGGTATTGTACCCATTCTGGTTTTGTTTTTTTGTTTGTTTGTTTGTTTTATTTGTTTGTTTGTCTCTTTGAGACAGGGTTTCACTATGCAATTCAGGCTTGCCTTCAACTCACTTTGTAGCCCAGGCTGGCCTCGAACTCGCAGTGATACTCCTGCCTCGGGCTCTGGAGTGCTAGGGTTACAGACCTGTGCCACCTTGCCTTGCTGAAGCTAGAACAATTCTCTCTTTTTCCTCCCTACATTTCCACTCTTGACTGGGCAGGACTTACTGAATGGAAATTTAGGAGGCTAAATCAATGCAGTAGGAGGAAGAACAGTGTACAGGTCAGTATGATGGAGCTGTGTCCCCAAATGCTGCTCTCTCCTTTGAGCAGGAAGCTAAGGCAGATTTTGAAGGCTCCTTCCCAGGTATGTGCGGACAGCTGAACATCGGAAACCAAGATCTGCCATTTCTCTGCAGCCCGAGTCTTGAAACAGCGCCCGTGCTTCCTCTGCCCTTCCTGAGCACTGCACCCTATCAGAAGGGCTAGTGTGAGCAGGATGGGGCCCCAACTGCCACTGTAGCCCATGGGACTGTGACTTTGCCTCTTCAGGAGCTTTTATGGGCCAAATGCGGAAGGGAAACAAAGAACACACGTTTGATTTCAGAATGGAAAACGTCTAGCTGGAGGATACTCAGTGGCTTGTGATTAGTTCCATTTACTGCCTATGCCAGGCTTCAGCTTGCTTACCTAGGAACTTAAGGCTTCGCAGCCATCACAGGCTAAGCGAATGATTTACCCCATTGTAACCCCAGGTGGGAGGTTTCTTCTTCATGCTTGGCCCCGTCAAGTGGCTCTCTTTCTGGGTAATGCCCTCCCTTCAAGGTGTTCGCCTATTTTGTGACTCCGGCCCCTAGCTAAAGAACATCCCGGATCAGGGGTCCGAGCTAGCTGCCTTGGAAGGACTTGAAAGGTCATCTCTTCTGGCTCTGACTCCTGGACTGGAGAGCACAGCACAGACCGTGTCTCTGTGCACCCGCTGGTTAAACGCCTTTACTTAGCGCACTCTCCACACGCGTCCTTCTAAGAGCAGCCCTGCAGGTGACGTCAAGAGGACAGAGTTGAGAGCATCCCTGACGTCAGGCTCAAGTGTACTCGCTGTTCCCGGGGTCTCCAGATGTGACAGGATCCCCATCTGGCTTCTGGCATAGTGTTCAGTATGGTTCAGAACCTTAAGAGAAAGAGGTACAGGAGTGCTCGGCAACTCTATATCCAACGAGAGGGCAACATTGCAAAATGCTACTCTAAGGTCCAGTAGGCACTTAGTTAATTATATCACCTCTGCTTTAAGAAATCTGATGATTTTTGACTCTTTAGGGTCACTTGAATAAATCATTTGGAATGATTATTTATTACCTAACAACACTGTTAAATAAAGGCTCAGTGTTGCTCAGAGAGAATCAGCACTGTCCACTTTGAAATCTGAGTAATAAATGAAATTTTGCCGTATCCAGCCATCATACTTTAATTCCAGCAGGTAGTCCAGCCTAACTCGTGGAAGTATATAATGTTGCAGCCACAGTTCTCCTCACTGGCAATGCTCCAGAAAATAAGTAAAGATGTGCAAAAAACTTGTGCATAAGGATGCCTTATAACTTTATTTATGATTGGAAATCAATTTTGAAGCACCCTAAAGGTATGCCAGAAGAATTTTAGTAAGTAAATACACTTATGATAAAATATTTTAAGCATTTAAAATAATTTTTAATTTTTCAATTATATTATATAATTTCAAAATAGCCCATTAATATTTATGAAGTAATTGCCACATTCCAGACACAGTTCGAAGTACTATACTTGTCTTTACAAAGACACCATCTAACCCTTACAGACAAGAAGATCAAGGCAGAGAAGTTAGTTATTTACCTCAGGTCACACAGCCAACAAGGGCAGAGCTAAGAAATGCAAATGTGATAAAATGTGAAAATTTCATTAGGCATGAATAGTGAACAGCAGAGAACGCGACAGATGTACACTCATGTCCCTGTTGTGTGAGTTGTGTCACAGGTCATTTATCCGTTCACCTATACAGCCATGCAGAAATGTTTATTTACTTAAGTCAGCTTTTATTTTGACAACGTTATTATTTGATTATACTCATTGTAGAAAAATGTATAGATGCAGAAATATGCAAAGAAAATAAAAAGTATCCCAATATCCCTTCCTCAAATATAGTAACAAAAGATTTTGTATATTTCCTTCTAGTTTTTTTGTACATTTACAT